CTTTGGTTATTCTGGGTATATTATTTTTTCAAATGAATTTCATGTCTGCTTTTTTATTTCTATGAAAAATATAATTGGAACCTTAATAGAAATGGCATTAAATCCATATAACGCTTCTGGTAGCATGGCCATCTTGACAATATTAATTCTGCTGATCCAAGAATATGGGAGATCTTTCCATCTTCTAAGGTCTTCTTCAGTTTTTTTCTTTCATGTTCTTCAGTTCTCATTATAGAGGTCTTTTACCTCTTTTGTTAGATTGATTCCCAATTTTTTTGAGGCTATTGTGAATGGGATAGTTTTTCAAATTTCTTTTTCAGTTGATTCATCACTGGTATAAAGGAACACAAGTAGACCAGAGACCCTGTGCCTACTAGAAGAAAAAGTAGGCCCAAATCTTCATCACGTTGGCTTAGGAACAGAATTCCTCAACAAGACTCCCAAAGCACAAGAAGTAAAATCAAGAGTAAATAAAGGATATGATATCAAACTAAAAAGCTTCTTCACAGGAAAAAAAAAAAGAATCAAGAATGTGAAGAGAGACCCTACAAAATATGAGAAAATATTTACCACCTGCATCTCAAATAGAGCAATCATCTCCAGGATACATAAATAACTCAGACAACTTAACACCAGAAAAACAAATAACCCAATCGATAAATGGGCTAAGGCATGGAAAGAATGGAGGAACTTCAGATAGAGAAAAGGGGGAGAAGGGAAAGGAGGGAGGAAGTGGGTAGGAATGATGATGGAATGAGTTAGACATCATTGCCCTAAATATATGTATGAAGACACAAATGGTGTGAAAATACTTTGTGTACAATCAGTGACTTGAAAAATCGTGCTCTATATGTGTGATATGAAATGAATTGCATTCTACCATTGTGTATAACAAATTAGAATAAATAAATAATTTAATAAATAAATGGGCTAAGGAACTGAACAGACACTTCGTAGAAGAATAAATATGAATGGTCAACAAATATATGAAAAAAAAATGTTCAACATCCCTAGCAATTAAAGAAATGCAAATTAAAACTACACTGAGATTTCATCTCACTCCAATCAGAATGGCAATTATCAAGAATACAAGCAACAATAAAGTTTGGTACAGATGTGGAGGAAAAGGTCCATTCATACACTGCTGATGGGACTGCAAATTGTGTAACCATTCTGGAAAGCAGTATGGAGATTCTTCAGAAAACTTGAAATAGAACTGCCATTTGACCCAGTTATCCCACTCCTCAGCATATACCCTATGGACTTAAAAATCAGCTTACTATAGAGATGTGGCCACATCAAGGTTATAGTAGTTCAATTCACAATAGCTAAGCTATGGAACCAACCTGGGTGCCCTTTAATGGGTGAATGGAGAAAGAAAATGTGGTATATATACCCAGTGGAATATTACTCAGCCATAAAGAAAAAGGGAAAGATGGTATAATGGATTGGACATAACTTTCCTGTGTTCATATATGATTACATGACCAATGTAACTGTACATCATGTACAACCACAAAATGGAAATATATACTACATGTATGTATGTCAAAATACATTCTACTGTCAAGTTTAACTAAAAACAACAAATAAAAATTTTAAAAATTAACCACTAAAAATAATCTATGGCAAACTACTAAGAATACATTAATATTAGATAATTTTAGTATTTTTTGCCAGAGGTTTTTTTTTTCAAATTTAACTATATTTATTTAAGCAATGTAGTTTTCTTCTTAGTATTTGTATATTAAATGTGACATTGATTAGAGACAGATGTATTCAGGAATTCATGATTTTACTCTTTATGATTTTTCATGCTTCTAATAGAATTTATTGTATATTATTAAGAGCATACTCATGAATACTCATGTACTTCTCAGAAATAAGTTCTTATGGAAGAATTTGTTCAATATATTTTAATATAGTCATTTCAGTTACTGTTAACATTCCAAAAACATCATCTGTTAAAATGGATATTGGCATGTATTTTAATATTCTTTTTATTTAGTAATGCTATTTACAAACTAATGAGCACAAGATTCTGTAGCATAGTTTTACATAACTAATGATACATGCCAAATCCATTATTCATAATAAAATTACCAGGTAATCAACATACTTCTAGACTCTATGTTTGTATGCTCAGTGACAAAGGTTCTGTAGTAACCCAAGCTACCATTTATTTTGACCTCTTTGCTTCTAACTGCATGAATACACCAGGGTGAACCATAATGGCCATAGGAACAAGTTACTGCTAACCTTAAACAATGTTCTTTTAAAAGCAAGGGCATATATATCAAGAGAACCTTAAAGCTTATGTCATGGGAGTTATTTCAGTTGCTTGTCAATAGGATTATAAATAAATGTTCTCATGACTATTTTTATGTAGGTTTGGTTGATAGACATTTATGGCATACTTGTCTTCTGCAGTTTAAAGATCTTATGTTATCGATATTAGATTTAATTAACAAATGTGGAAGTAAATTATTCAGGTTTTACATAAAGATAACAGTTTACTAACAATGAAATTTTAGAATTCTTTTTTCTTTTAGGAAAATAGTACGTAAAATACACAAAATTAAAATATTTACTAAGAATTCAGCTGACTGCATCTAATAAATATAAAAGTAGACTTTTAGGATCCAGAAAAATCTGGTTTTGCAGGCATAAAAGGAAGCATGTAGAGAATTTGACATTTAGATATACACAATGCTACAAAAAAAAGATAATTTGAGCTCTCTAAAAGGAGGTCTTTTAACTAAAGTCTAAATATAAAATCAAAGATTTGCCATCAGATGGTAAATCTGAAGGTGGTAGCAGTGAAAATGTAAAAATTTAAAATCAGGAAGCAACATATAATCAGTAGGTATTCTTAAACTTATGACATCCTACACTAACTCATGCTAATTTATTTTAACATTTTAAAACAATGACATCTTGGTTTATAAAAGAATATATAGTTTCAAATTAAGTGTAACAATTTGCATACACTCTATTTGTATCTTCAGTCTATTTTAGACTAAGAATTGCACTTTATGTATCATAAAGTTCTGAATTTCATCACGCTTAGTTTGAATAGTTAATTTTGCAGCAGTATAACTTTATAGAACCTGAAGATTCCACAGCCAATCTCACATTTAACCATGAATTTATCATTTTCATGTGATTAGTATCTGGTAAGACCAATATACTAATTTTTATGTTGTTGTCAATTAGTAATGTAATATCATGGATCCACACTTCTGAAATCCAAAACCTGGCTCTGCTACTGGGTGATTTTGGTAAAAATACTTAATTTCTATGTGCCTTGGCTTTCTTATCTATAAAATGAGAATTATAATAGGCTTTATTTATACGTTTGTTGTAAGAATGAAAGTTAATACATGCATTATATTTTGTTATATAAAGATTAAATAATAATTTAATTAAAATATAATGTGATATATGTCACGTTATACCTATAATACATATACATGTGTGTTAGCATGCATAGGAGCACCTTGTATATAGGAAATGTCACCAATTTGTAATGCTGATTTTTTTTGTACTTGAAAATTAAAACAAAAAAGCATGCTAGAAATATTTTAGAAATACTAGCATTCTGCAAATTTTATGTACATATCCAAAGCTTCTCCAAATTAAAAGTTCTTGTTATCTATTTTCCTCATCCATTCATTGCTATTTGTCAATGTTGATCAGGTTTACATCCTGGAAGACAGTCGGATTCCAAGGTGAAACCTTGGAAAGGTCATATCTAGAAATGTGGATTGAGCATCACCCCCCAAAGGGAGAGGAACTGAGATTAGGTGTGCTCATCTGTAACCCCCACAGCATCTCGCCTTGTCTGGTGTCAACCATTTGACATCCAGGAAAGGTTGGTTGAGCAAACAGATGTCACCCTTCTTTCTAAGGGATTAAATCCCTCCTCTCTCTGGCCTTCATGTCTTTAAACCTCTAATTAAAGCTTTCCTGAATCCTGTTCTTTTCCTTCTTCATTAGTCTTCTCTTGTTGCATAACAATACCACAGACTTGGCAGTTTAAAGTACCACACATTTATTGTCTCCACATGTTCATGGGTCAGGAGTCATGCACAGCATAGCTGCATCTGCTCAGAGTCCCACAGGCTACAAGATGCTAGCGGACTGCATCCACATCCCCATTCTCTTCAAGGGACTTCAACCTACTTTTGAATTTGTCTGCAGTGCTAGCAGAATCCATTCCTTGTGGCTGTAAGACAAGACCCAGATTCCTATTGGATATTGGCTGGAGGCAGCTCTCCACTGCTGAAAGAAACCCAGTTCTCTGCCTTTGACCACCTTCACAGATGGTTCACAGCATGCTGGTGCTGGGAGAGCCTCAGCTAGGATGGAGTGATTTAAGGCAACAGGATCACATTGTGACACCCCACCACCGTTTCATATTCTATTAGCTTGAAGCAAGTCACAGGATCCGCCCACACTCTACAGAAACAAAAGTGTGGATTCCAGGAGGTGGGAATTTCTGTAGATTGCCCAGGGTATATTCTCCCAACTCTCCATTTGAGTTAAGTATCTGTAATGCCTCATATTTATAGCTCTACCTTAATATTGCTGTGTAACCCACTATATACTTATGCCTTTGTCTGTGTCTATCTCTATGTCTCTCTGTCTCCCTCTACAAGTAGAACTTGACATTTATCTGGACTTAGTAAACTTTTATTTTTAACAGCTTTGTTGAGGGACAATTAATCAGTGAACTTTCAGTAAGTGAATGAGAGTAAACATAGGGATGAAGTGGTGCAAACTTTAAAGTATTTGGTAATAATTTTTATAGGAACAGTTCCATGTGATAATGTATTTAGAATTGTGTCAACCCTGAAAGAAAATAATTGTTCCAATGAATTAGAAGATAAAATGGTTTTATGATTAGTTCTAGAGCTTTATACCTTGGACTTTTTTCATAGTATAAATCCATGATACTTTATGCTATCTAACCAAATTCTTTTTTTTTTTTCTTTTAGATGAGCAAGAAATTGTACAAAAGCGTACTTTCACAAAATGGATCAACTCTCATCTGGCCAAGGTAAGGGAGACAACCCAGAGTTACAGGTTTGCATAGTTTCAGCCAAAAAGTCATGAAGTTGCACAATGTGGAGGGATGCTGCTGTTGTTTTTGCCACCATTACTGATCAATGACATTGGCCATCCTATTCACTGGTTTAATTGTCACCTAAGTGAGGCATTTACAGACTTTGTCTCTGGAAAGAAATGGACTGACAGCCAGTCAAGAGCAGTTACTTCATGTCAATCCCATGGATCTTGCTCAAATATTTCACTGTTATTACTTGTATCTTAATTGGTGTCAGATTTTTGCTCAGATGTGCTTATGTCTGTTTGGAACAGGAAGAAAGAATAAGTGGTCTGTGCTGAGCAAAGAGGTTTATCTGAGGAGGTGAGGACAGTGCCCCTCCCAGGTGCTTTGATGAAAAATATTACCCTGGAAGCAAGACACTGGAAAGACTGACATCTTTCCAAGATTGTCCATATTAGGTTGTGCCAGGTGATCTTAGTCTTTTTCTAGTGTGCATTCTAATGTCTTTGCACATAACTACGATATAAAATAAATTTTAATCTTAGTTTATTGTAATAAAATCAACATCTTACGCTGCTGATGGGAAAACAAGTAAAACAAGAAGCATTGTGTTTGTCAAAATAAACTTAGATGATTGGATAATTGTCTGGATTCAGCTACTAGAACCTTTTGTGGCTACTAGAACCTCTTGAGGGTTTTTAAACAGAGTTCTGCTATGGTTTATACGTGAAATGTCACCCAAAGACCCACATGTTAAAGGCTGAGTCCCTACCTTGGCAGTATCAGTAGGTGGTGAGACCTTAAGAGGTAGAACACAATAAGTAGGTGGTCTTTCAGTCACAGAAGACATACTCTCTAAGGGGTCTGTGGGACCCCAGCCCCTCCTCTTTTCTCAACCTGGATGTGAGGTGAACGGCTTTGCTCTTCCACCTGCCCCTCCCCATGATGTGCTGCCTTGACAAAAGCAGTGGGCTGACTGTCCATGGGCTGAAGCCTCAAAACCCTGAACCAAAGTAAATCTCAACAACAGAGTGAATGAATACATCCCTGAAGTCCCAGTTGATTTTAATCCCTTTCTGCAGATTAACTGTGTACCTGTGTCTCTGCTAGGTTTTAGGGAAAGGAAAATATAGTAGAAAATGTTCCCAGGACTTGAGAAGCTCACAATCCAGCAATAAAGGACTATAACAATGTGTCTAGGTACAGGATAAATTGGGATCACCTTTCCTAAAATCTCTTTCCAAAAGCTACTTGATGAGAGGAGAATTCTCTGGTCCAGTGGTTGCACCTAGAATCCGTCCTGTTCCTCCTTCCTTTCTACTCTGTGACTGCAGAAGGCCTGAGAACTCTGGGGACTCATTTCCTCAAGCCTGTTGACAGCCAGACTCTACTTAACTACAGAATTGGCAACTATCAGGGAAGATTTTTCTTTCCAAAATGAAAATAAAGTTATTGTTTCTCATACTGTAAAAAGGCTACATGCTAACTGTAAGTAATATTAATAATGCATCTCTTAGAAAGTGTAAAGAAAGTTGAAGTGACTTTAGATTACACAGCCCAGTTAGATGTATGACTCAAATATTACTTGCCATTTTTCTTTTGATAGTGTACCTCTTCACATGCCTAAAAGATTCTAATCTAGAAAAGAACCCGAAGTCCCTATGTTTCCCCAATGTTACACACTTGTGCATGAATGGTATCATTTTGAAATGCCCAGAAAATTACCGTATCCATAAAAACCTATTATAAACTTAATATAACAGAGACAGTTTTGGGTTATTTTTAATCCTCTGTACTTGTCATTTCTTTTCTTCTTGGGCCACTTTGAAAACTAAACAGTGAAATAGAAAAATACGTGAACTTGTTCTCCTGAACTTATTTATGCCAATGTTATAGTGTTTCATTAAAAATAGCCCAAACCTAAGAAAGCATAGGATGATATTTTAGTTTTCTGACTCCTTATATTTGGAAAACTTTCTGAAATGAGATCTGGCCCCAGTTCCCTGCTGTGGCAATTGAAAACTCAAGGAGAGCTGTGGGGTTGGTGTGTCTGTGTTTGTCTCTGCAGCTGACCACATATTGCCACTCATCTATCCCCATCCTTTGCCCTCCTTGTTCCCACTTAAGGTCCTGTTTACAGCTCTCTCTCTCTCCCTCTCCCTCTCTCCCCCCTCTCTCATTCTCCCTGTCACCTCTCTTCCATCCCATTTCAGTTGTCCCTTCCATGCCATCTCCTCTGCCACCGCACCTGCAGCCCAGCCCAGTCCCTTTTCCATCTCTATCTCAGTCTCCCTGTCCCTATCTTTACCCTTTTATTTGTGTACTAGTCCTATAAAAACACATTTAGTCTGAAAATCCAAAACTTCACAGTGTCGTTGAGGTTGTATTTACTTATGTCCTCAAGTTAAAAGCGAGGCATACACTTCCCTCCCCATTACGGGTCCTCACTTACTTCAAGGAATTCTAAGAATGAGAATACTTCACCTACGACAAAAGCAGTCACTTTCATATGTGATCTGGCCTCTGGACCTTGTGTCACTTTTCCTGATGCTTTGTGAGCAGGCTTGCTGCCAACACCACTCGGGGTGCTAGAGCATGCTTGGACCCTTCACTTTAGCATACATGGACAGTTGCATTAACCACACATGCACACACACACACACACACACACACACACACATACACACAGTCAGATAATTCCTTCAGGAACATGTGTCCAGGGTCTTACTAAATCTGTCAAGGATATAGCTTCTTAAATTTGGAGTTCTTGTCTCTTGATCATCAGCAACACCCTGAAATCTCCCCCAAACAATAGGTTCTCAGTCACAGAGCAGGCCCAAAGCTATGTTTCAGAACATTTCTCTTTAGAAAAAATAATCCACAAAGAAGAAGCTTGACTCATCTGAAAGTCCTTCCTGATCTTCCAGAACTTTTTGGAGTCTTGTTTCCCTCTTCTTGCTTGTTGAGTAACCAAAGCTGTTGGCTTTTAGTGGACCTGGGGTACCAGGGTTGAGGATCAGGTTGAGTCTGCTCTGGTGTGTTTTTCCTGCATTGATAATTCTCCATTGTCTAGTAATGACGTCAGCCTGTTGGGTCAGTGAATTTGGGTCCTGCTTAGTCAATTCAACCTGTTGTAACAAAATACCAGAGGCTGGGTGTCTTAAACAGCAGACACTTATTCCTTACATTTCTGGAGGCTGGGAAGTCCAAAATGAAGGCACCAACAGATTTGGATTTTGATGAAGGCTATTTCCCTTGTCCCTGTGTGTCACATGGCAGCAGGAAAGAGCTATGGTCTCTCTTCATCTTCCTATAAGGCCACTAATAAATCACACCATGGGGCCCCACATTTGTGGCTTCACCTAAACCTAGATACTACCCAAAGGCTCCACCTCTAAATATCATCATATTAGGGTTAAGTGTTCATCATATGAATTTTGGTGGGGATACAAGCCACAGACCTTTAGTCTATAACAGGCCTCAAGTTCAGTCTGAAGTCTGACTGGAAGCAAATGAGGAGTTCTAAATCTGTAACACAGGGGTGGGAGCTCTACCCTGAAAACACTTACCCCCATTCCTGGTGGATGTTTACTTTGGAATTTTTCCATTAACCTGACAATGAAACCATTGAGAATGGTTGAGTTGCATTCTATTCCTTGGTCTTATTGATTGTCTCCTATAGTTTTTGTTTATATTTATTTACTAATAAAAGTAAGAAAATGACCCATGTTGAAAGTATATTTTTTTTCTGGTAATCAGAATAATAGTTTCAAATCACCTGTTACTTATGCTACATGATGTTCCAAGTTATTTTATATCTAAAAACAAGAAAAAAGTATCAAATTGACTAGGAAAAAGAATTTGACATTTTTCTGGAATGCAACTTGTAAATATTTCACAGGATCTCTGTTGTCTGAGAACTTTTGCATAGTAGTCATGGAAATTGGTATGTATTTAAATTAGAATGGTAAATCATAAATCCCGTGATAATATTATGCCTCCTTTAATGTTTCTGAATAATCTAAAGATAATAAAATTTTATTTTTTAGTTTTTATTGATTATTTTGTGGTGCTAGGGATTGAATGCAAAGCCTCATGTTTGGCAATCCACTGAGCCATATGCTTAGGCCCCCAATTTTTATTTTAAAGAACAATTTGAAAGACTGTCTTTGGAAAGCAAATGTATCTATTTTCTCAAAATCTTCTTTGCAAATTGACTTTGCAAAACAGCATTGATAATGGCAGGATTAAGAGTTGAGATGTTGAGTTGAGAATAAAAAATGTTGGTGGTCTTGTTCTTCCCAAGGTCATTAAATCTTGGGTGCATCAGAGACTATTGGAAATGATTATGAAAGTGAGTTTGAAGAGGTTTTTTTAATAGGAAATTTTCATTTTGTTCTTGATTGCTTGTCTTGGTTTCACATCAATATATGACATATTAAATAAGAAACTCTTCTACTGATGACATTCTATTTTATTATAGCAATTATTTATAAATATTATGACAGAAGTTATGAAGAAATAGGATACAAACAAGAGTCCAATATGTTTTTATAAAATATACTTTTCTTAAACCAAATATTTTATTAAAAATAGGGGGCAAACCTAAGGATTTTCCCTCTGTGGGTGTTTTATATCACTCTTAGTACACAGATATAGATTATTCAAATTTATGGGTCTAATTATCCATTCATTTTTTGATGTTTGCTTTGTTCCTAAATGGAAGTTTTTATGTCTCTGCAATTATGCAAAGAATCGAAAATCACAAATTGTCAATATACTACAATATGACATTCACAAAAATTAGCAGTTATAGTTGTTTCATATACTCCATCATCCGTTTCAGAGATGGGGCTCCCTTTTTAGACATGAAACCTATAATTTTCTTTTTATCAAGAAGAAACATTATATTCTGTTAGTTCTGTTAATGAAAGGAGATGAAATATTTCTTAATTAGCCCAATTTATTTTGAGTGGTAGTTTTTCAAAGTT